GTAGTACTCTTCAAGTATCATTATTTGATAATTTGAGGTAATTTTTGCTTGAATCTATTAATAACTTCCTTTTAAACATATCTACATTAATTAATAATTTAACTTACTTTGATTTGAGGCATTTATACTCCTACAAAGCAAATAGAAGTCTCTTCTCTAAAAAGCAGCATTGAGACTAAAACATTTATTATCTTCCTATCATTTATCCTTGTTTTTCTACCACATCTTTGTACTAGGCTCTTCTATAACAACACCCATTTTTTTATTTTTTACTATATAGTTGTATTATTATACAATAGCATGAAGTCTTTTCTTACTCAATAAGAGATTTAAAATGTACTCTATCAATTTGCATAGGTTTTAGTCTTGATGAATAAGCTTGTGTAAACTTAGAAGCTATTACCATGACTTGATTTATACCTCTCCAATCAAATCTTTGTTCTTAACATCTTTCAAAGAGTCAATTATTGCATGCAATAATTTGAGTAATAAATTATTCCAATAAATCTACTCTTTGTATTATCAATAGTTTGATCTCTACTATCTTTTTTGATTATTTTCTCTAAAAATAGCTATAAATACTTCTAATAATGAATTTATATGATAAAAAAGATAAGAATCTTTTTCTATCAAAGATAAAATTAAGAAAAGTTACTCCTAGAAAGAAGTATACCTATGAATTGAACTTGAATAAATCTATTAGGATATTAAGAAAAACACAACTTTAGATAGAGCTTTATTTGTTATAGAAATCCTTGAAACTTTGATCTTATTCTATCAAACTTCTTCAGTATACTTATCCTTGCTTTTTTCATACTTGTAGTAATAAGACTTTTCAAAATTAATTCTGAACTTAATCTACTTGCTTCTCTCAATTGCACAATTTTTTAGTATAGACTTTAAATTTCATTATTGATCTCTTCCATAGGTGTTAAAATACTACTTCCATAGTTGACATTAGATATATATGAGATTTCCATCTTAAGAGTGTTAACAAGCTTATGAAGATTTGCAATAGTTCCAAATTTATTCTCCCTTCTCTCAAGAATAGCATCCATGATTTTTCCTTCTATAGACAACTCAAATAAATCTATAAATCAAATTAAAAGAAGATAATCTACAGCCTCTAATATCAAATAAAAATTTCTACAAAGAGAGGTAGTTCACTTTTTTTAACAAAAATAATTAGTATTATAAAATTAAAAGTTAGTTTAAAGGCAGATAGTTTGCAATCTTCAAAATACAACAATAAAAGTGAGATAATTCACTCACTTCTATAAAAAAAATAATAAATAAATAAATAAAAAATAAGATCAACAAGTTAAAAATCTTATCAAATTATCATAAATATGAATCTTAAACAGTTAAAAATTCAATACATTCTTATATTACTTAAAAAAATAGATATTCATTCAAAATTGATATAATATTATAAATAAAATAGCAATTATCAAAGACAAAAAGACTATAAAGTTTTAAAATAAGATTAAAGATTAAAAAAGAATTGATAAGAGTAAAGAAGGCTTTACTCTTGCTTTTATTCAAACTATCTAATTATAAGTTATGTAGTGATATTCTATAGGACCTCTGATACATATCCAACTTGCAAGATATATGTCTTAACTTGCAAGGCAAGTTTTTCTATATAAAAGCCATATAATTAGCTTATACCATAAGCTATAAATACATGTAATATGTAACTAATTTGTTAGTCAAATTTCTAACCTACCAAACAACTTAAAAAATGTATAAAATTAAATCTACATCTATGGAGCTTCTAAAAAGCTTTTCTATAAGATATAATCAAATTTATTTATTTTAATCTATTTATACCTATTCGACCTATCTAAATAATTATTGGAATAAATATGTATGTCCATGATAATGTGAAATTGTGTACAATCCAACTTAGATTCAATTGATCAATCCAAACTAATGGAGTTGGATCTATCAAAAATTCTTAATGTTTCAAGATAAGTGTAACTTTAGCTCCTAACTCTTGTTTGGTGTTAATTCTTTTTTAGTTCTTTTCTAAATCTTTTTTGATATTTTATATTTTTCTTGTAGTCTAATAAATGAATTTTAAAGAAATCCTAATCAAATCATTACCAAATCTTAAAGAAAATTGTAACTAAATTCTTATCAAATCCTAATAAATCCTATAAATATTACAATCAAATCCTAATTAAATTCTAAATAATTTCTAAATAAAGCATATAAAAATTCTATCTAAATTCTAAATAATTTTAAGTAAAGCCAATAAAAAATTTAAAATCCTTGTATTTTCTTAATAAACCATTTATTTTAAATAAATCTATGGTAATTTTTAAAACCATAATTAAAAACATAAAGAAGAAATTTGACAAGAATATCACTTACAAATTCAAAAAAAAGTCAAAAAAGTTGCTTAGAATTCAAGCAATATACTTTTTTTAATCATGATGTTGAATTTTTAGTCTTAAGATTTTTTTCTTAAACTATTGATTTATGCCTAAATTCTTATTGATATTTTTATTTAAATTAAAGATTAATTTATCAATTTTTACTTTAATTCAACTACTAAATTTTTATAAATAGTAGAAACCTTACGACTCCTCAAATCTCTAATTTTATATTTTTTTTTTATTTTGAATTCTAATAATTTTTAATCTAACCATCTAATTGAGACCAATGTCATAATAGACATCAAATACAATTATTTTTAGAAATATATAAATTTTATTTATAGATTTACTAAAAATATATATTATTTTTAAAAATATAAATTATCTTTATTTCTTAAAAATCAAAGTTATTTAAATCAAATCTTAATATTATATGAAATTATTACAAACTCAAAACTATGTAAAACTATGTAAACTATGGTTATAGAAACATCCTTAAGTTTTTATGTAATTCCATTGTTCAATCAAATAAAGAACTTTTCATCACTTGTAGGCATATACATTTGTGTCTTGGGATTTGGTTTTGACTACAGATCACAACTACTCTTCCTTGGATATTAATAAAATAAAATTTAAGTATATTTTTTAAAAAGCTACCCTTTACTTTTACCTTAAGATGCCAAAAGGATTATTTTTTAATCTATCTTATTTTTTCTTATTAATCATTCTACAAAATAAGTAGAATCTTTTTTAATAAAAAAAATAGAATATTCCAAAATTTCTACTATCTTTTTATCTTTACTAATGATTTCTATAATAATATTTTAATATATATTTAAAAAAATCTTTTTAGATTATTGATACTTATGTATTCTTACACCTAATAGTCATATTACAACATAAGAATGGCAACTATATGGAGTTCTATAATAGAATCTAAACTATTCTTTTAAATAACGTGATATAATGTCTAAACTTTGAGCCTTCAAAGAAGCTATGTTTAAATGGCTTACATCGTACAAAGGAATTGTATCTAATACATAGAGAGAAAAAAACTAGTTTATTCATATATATTTAGGGAGTTATTAAAGCCACACCAAAATATTATTAAAGCCACATCCTACATAACCATCTCATGATTAATTTCATCCATCTTTCATCTCAATCTCTTGTTCCATGTCTCCCATCACTTGTTCATTATTTCTTAAAATTAATCATCACATGGTTTGGAGGTGTAGCTTTAACAACTCTCTATATTTATTATATTATTTTTTTTCATCAAATATCAAAAATTATCTTATATTATTTTTAGGAGTGCCATCAAGCTCACAAATTTGAGATTGGAACATCTTAGTTTTATATAAATTGACCTCTAATCCATGGAATTAGGGATCGTGAAAAGAATTTATACAAAAACAAGCCATTATTACAAAATAATCCCTATTAAGTTTAAATTTTTTTACAAGATTTGATTACTATTAAGAAGCCTCAATCCATGGATTATTTGAATCCAAAGAAACAAGATGATTTTTGAATAAGAAGTATGGAGTGATCTCTATATTAAATGCATGATTTGTAAAGACTTAATAGAATATGGAAAAATTAGTTTAAAAGCCTTGAAGGAAAAAAAAATTAAAAAATCACCAACTTGAATCAAGTCTCTTTAAATAGTGGGATAAACCATAGATGGCACAATACTTAATTAGATATATAATCCATGAGATAATCAAATAGAACTTTAGAATACCATAAAGTAGACTAATAACACTTAAAATTATAGTTGAGTAGAGAGCTTAGCAATATCCAATACTGAATATTCTTAATTCTGCTTAATCAAGTATTAAGAATTAAGAGATTTTTCTACACCTTTACTCCCACTCAATCAATGCATTGGATATAGCATGTTTCCGTGTCAAAAAATAAAACCAAATCAAATCAACTTAAACCCTTACATTCTAGATAACACTTATTTTTTAAAAAACTCCTTCACACAAACATCCATGCTTGCATATGTTGGCTAAAACATAGAGCATATAGTAAAATATCTCTCAATTGTAGAAGACCATAGCTGTCCAAACCACATGGAAGAAACAAACAAAGAGCATTCCAAGGTTGACATCTTTTCACCCATGTGTAACAGCAAAGACTGTATTACATTTGTAGGGTACCTTCGCTTGTATTTTTGTGCAAATCATATTGGTGAGCAGTAGCATTTGAATTCACAAGGGGCACTGCAGTTTTCACATGCATAAATTGTTCATCTGATAGGTGAACATGTTACATGGTGAAGATAGTTCGTAGAGTGACAATTTGTCAGATTATAGTGCCTTGACGTATTGTAAGGGACATTCAAAATGAAGACGTGTTTACAGTTCATGGTAAGAAGAATTTCTCACACGTTCCAACAGCGTATTTTCAGTAAGTAAGAGAGTAGTCTCATGTCAATGATTTGAGATACTGTATGATAAATGAAGTACATTGTCCATTATCAAATAGATGATTCCAAGATGTGGGAGAGGATACATTCAAGTTATATAGCAAAATATTCAACCTCTGAATGAAGCGGAATCACGCCTCTTATTTACCAATTTTAATCAGGAAACACCCATAAGGATATACATGAAAGTTATACATTATCGGAAAGAGCGACACAGACAACAAGATATCGCGGCACAAGTACAAACTGTTTCATTCCTCTCAGCATGAGGCATTCTCGTCCCAGTAAAATGTACACAATGCCCATTCTACAGCTTGAGCCAAATTTGCTTGCCAACTCGAAATGCATTTACATTCCTAAGCCTTTGGCAACAATTTCGACAGATTCCGGAGCAGATCACACCTCCACACGCAACCATGTTACAAGGATTCTATCCTGTTCTGTAGCTCCTGCCTACACTCTAGTGGATCTTCAGGTTCGTCAGCACGTTGTTGTGCACGGGGTCCGCCAAGTGGTCCAGTAGGTTCTGGAACGGGCCCACGCCTGTGAAGATGGCCTGGGTGAAGTACCCCAACACCGCCATCATCGCCAACCGCCCGTTCTTGACCTCCTTCACCTTCAGCTCCTGCAACTCCTTCTCGTTCTTCCCGAATCCCAAGAAGTTGAAGATGGGCCCTCCTGGGTACGCCGGGTTGCCCGATCCTCCCAAAAACTTCTCCAGCCCCAAAAAGTACTGCTTGCCCATCGATCCGGGCTTGTAGTAGTCCTGCGCGCGTCGGTGCTCCGCGAATCCCATCAACGCCATCTCCAGCACGAACAGCGTATACGGGTCGGCCCAGTAGCTGTAGTTGCCCACGGGCGGGATCACGCCGCTCTGGAACCACGGGATGGCGGTCTCCTGCGGGATCAGCCCGATTCTCCCCAGCACCTCAGGTGCGATGGCACCGGCCGCTCCCAGCATGGCGAACCGCCCGTTGATGATCTCGGCGTATGGGAGCCACTGGGGGTCGATGAAGCCACCGGCACCCTCGGGGTCCATCAGGCCCAACGGATCAAACCCATAGTCGCCGGGCAAGCTGCATCGGAACCCACAGACGAGCACATTAGGGTGCTACTGGACGGTAATCAAGCACGCATGTAAGTTGAACAATCAGCTGGGATGTGCATGGGCTGGAAAATCCCCTGTAGGGCACTGAGTGGCAGATTTACTCACGTGCCATCAAGGTAAGACAGGCTTTGCTTGGAGGCAAAGATCAGGTTCCTCTGGCTCCCACCCTACATGAGATGAAAAATCCCACTGTGATTGAATAGTTGATAATCTGCAAAGGGGACCTTGCTGAATAAAGAGTTTCATGATAATAGTTACATTCAAGTTAAGCTGCGTAGACCTTACAGTGGGGCTAAGCTGGGCCTTGGTGACGACAGTCTTGGCAGAGGATGAGGCCTTCAACGTGACATTGAGAGTGCATGCCAAGTTGGTACCAAATACAGAGCTTCTCTTCCCCTCCTGCACAGACCAGGGTAATAATACATCGTCAGCGGGCAAGGAACATGTTTTGACTGACTAAACTTAACATCACCATCATCATACACGCTCCAGACAGAAGGACATTTGTGCTGATGATCAGGTGTAACAAGGAGTATCTGCTAGGGGAGACGTGGTGGAAACTGGCGTAATAAATCAGACAACAGCATTTATGGAACATTGCACTTAGGTGTATCATTAAGGTTGGGATTTCTATTGACCGTGTGTAGCTTTCATTGGAAAATTCTAACGATCTTAGAACAAGTCTACTCGAGTGTGAGTAAACCGTAAAAAAACTAGAAGTGGAAAAAGATTTAATGAATCGATTGTTAATCACAGCTCCATTGCTGTGGTAGTGTCTCCCACTCTCACAGTGTAATTTAAATTCGTAAAACGACCATTATCTTCCCGTGATGTGTACAAATTTCTTACCCCCTTTTACTAGTCACCACGCTTTGCAGCGCGAGTTGCGCTCTTTCCATGGACGGCAACGTGGACAATGCACTTAAATGGATTGCAGAATCCAAATTCCTGAACCAGAATTCTAAGGGAGACAGAAAGGTCACAATTTGCCTTGCAGCCAGTCCTCCATCCCCGCACAGGGATTCCGAAAGTTACCACACACTGTAAATATGTCTGCTAACCAATAATGGATCATCCAGTGCTGCCGCTGTAGGCCAGTGAGAATGAACAGAGACAAGCAAATGTGCGCAAAGCGAACCCTTACTGCGTTCCTAAGCATGGATACTCCCAGCATGCAGACCCCAAACCAAGGAACACATGACTGACGCACTCAGTTACTGAATCAAGCAAGAGGGTGAGAGAACGGGTGGGGCTTACGAGGGAACTGGAGGAAACTTTGGCAGCGAACGAGGACACGGCACTTCCTGCCGCCATTCTAGTCGCCATTGCAAAACACGCGCGCAGACTCCCACAGGCCTCGCGTTCACAGGCTTGGAAAATGAGTAGACTGCGCAGCTTCGGCTTTAGCGAGGAAACTAGCATGGGGGGATTTGAAGCTGCAGAGATGAAGTGGGAGAGCAACAGCAGATTGGGGGCGTGCCGGTCCCAGCCGGAGCGAGCCACGAGAGTGGCCACAGCCACACATACGCTTTGGCATCGGATATTGTAAGTTGCACGTCCAATCCCCGGCCTCGGGCCAGATCTCGCACCCGGCTGGGGATCGCCCTATGGGCACCCTTCCCGGGGAATGGTGCCACGCTGGACGCGGGAAGCATAGATGGATGAATCTCAATATTATCATTCTCTCATCCGTGTTAACTCACGGGTCGGGGATGAGAACTCCAACGACATAAATTTTCTGATAATAATTATTTAAAAAGTTATAAAAAAAATCTCTTTAATTAACTTCTAAATAATAATTAATTTTTATTTTTTTTTAAGAAAATTCATATTCTTTTACTTTTTTTTCAAAATTATGTAGAGTAAATTAGAAGGTTTAATATAGTCCTAAAATTCTATATTTATGTCATTTGTTCTTCTTTTTGAAATGAAATCCACAATAGGATAAAAGATTTTAAGTTTGAAATCTCTCTTTTTTTCTCTTTATATATATATATATATATATATATATATATATATATATATATTTTAGTTTTTATTTTTTCATCAAACTTATTTTGCATACTAGACTTCAAAGAAATAATTATTTAAAATAAAAAAGCTAACAGTAAAAATATTCTATTTTATTTTATTGGCATAATTCTTGATGTTACAAAAATTGGAAACTCTGTATCTAAGCAATTTATTGAATTCTTGTATTATTTGTTGTCCACAAAGTATTAAAAATATATTTACCAAATATTAAAACACAAAACGCATTGTAACAGGTGTTAATTGTTTAAAATTAACAACTTTCTACAATGGAAAAAAGCAAATAATCATGTGTCCAATCTTTCAATAATAGTTATATGCAAACAATTATTGAGTAAATTAAAAAATCACTTTAATGCACAAGGTTAGACCAATCAAATATAGAAAGTATTTTTTGATTTTTATAATATTTGAAAAAGACAATAATTAGAAATATAATCTAAAATAAAATCATGAAATATCACATGACAGTAAAGATTGCAACTAATTAGATGTAAGGATGAATAAATCAATTTAACAAGCCATGGTGTTGGATAAGGCAAACTCTGAATAATATGCAACTTCATAACTAAGGGAAATTCACAGGAGAATTACGTCTTGAATCAGCAACACGATAATCCAAAAGCAATTAGCAAGCTCTCCAATAGTACCCTCTATTGCTGTGATGTTTACAAAAAGCCTCCCCAATGCCACGCACAAAATCCATGAAGTAGAATGTAGGGTATTGAATGTAAAAATGTTAGGGTAGGAAAATGTGGACTGTGTGCAGGGGAGCTGAAATGGAGGTAAAGAGTGACAACAAACGTGGACTAAATATATGAAGTAAGCTATGTGTTACTTGTGTGATACAATATAATACACTTGTGAATTGTCTTTAAAATGATTTTACACGTGCAGGCGGGTATAAGAGTCCAGCGAGAGAAATACATCGCTGACGTTGCAGTTCTGGAGTTGTCATATCAGGAGTTGTCCTCAAACTACCGTGCTTATTTTCTGAGGTAAACAAATTGAGGGCCAGCATCAGGTTTACAACCAACCCACTTGGTTCCGACTCTCCCATTCCTTAAAAATTTGTTGACATGCTAAAGATCAAGCAAAAAATGTGGTCACTTTGAGATCCCCAGTGCGAGAATCAAAATGTCCTGTTACTTCCACAACGCTGTTTACTGGTAGCTCATTCGAAGAGTCGGATGGTGAAAGGGTCGATTGTAGCTGGAGTCCTTTGACACCAACCTCGACAGGAGAGCGAAGAAGCTTCACTCCTTGCTTCCAATATGTCGGTCTTCCACCTGAAGTGGATATTCAGACCCCAGTCAAAAATCACCAAAGACCTTAAGACCGTGAATCTAAAACTATGCTTCGCTTAATACCGCATGGGGCAGCTAGTATGTATTTAATACAGCCAACATCGTATAAAGAGTATGATCACACTTCAACCTCAACTGTATCGTGCTGTGTGTGCAACAAACACAGTAGAGATTCTTAGGAAAACTTTTAAGGGTACGATATGCAGATTCAGGATCATACCTGCTGGTCCAGTGGATAGTACATAACTGCCTTCTGGATCTAGACTCCAATCCATCCACAAGACAATCCCATGGCACTGACCGGCTCTCTGTACTGCAGCCTGAATAGCCAAAATGTACAAACATAACCATGATCAATCTTAAAACTTCATCACTAGGTGACGCTGATTGACGAAATGAAATTTGGGGTCAAACAAATTTCAAATCAACACATGTTCTTAAATGTAATGTCTTCCACTAAATACTGATTGATATTACCAACATTACAAGGTCAAATACATTTTAGCTGGAACACTTATCACACCCCCAAGAACAAGGAAGACAACAGTACCTCTATGACGCCTTCCATAGTTCGTAGTGGATACGAGAAGTCGAATTCAATCACAGTGAATACATCTGTCAGCTCCTGTTAATCAAAGTTGTGTTATAATCACGTGAAAAAGAACATCGTACTCTTGACTGGTCAGAGTAGTTGCACAAGCTGCTCCTCTTGACTTGGCAGTGCATTCTGATTTGGTAAAAGCAAAACATACATGTTCTCTTAGGACATCCCTAGTAGGACAAACTTGCAAATGGGTACTACGGCCTTGTTATTCTTATTCCTCAAGAATTAAAGGTAAATTAAAGAAGATGGAATATACACACCTCATATCGTCCGCATTGCCACACAGCAAACGGAAGTATGGGGACCTCGTGTAATGATGGTAGCTCTCCACAGGCCCCAAAAACACTATTTACCAGCCTATGGTCAAATCCTTCCACATCTTTGATGAACCGGCGGCTTTTCCATAAGTCCTACTTGACAAACCAATACAGTGTATAACATGACCTGCTAAAAGGAGGCTACGATTATTAAGTTTTGAAAAAGTTATGAAGGTACAAATACTAGAGCCGAGTGACAATATGGTTGTTGCTTGATAACGTACTGGCATATGCACAGCAACGCCACGCAACGAAGCTCGGCATGGGACTAGCTTCACGTTGTCAGATAAGAGTGGTGACAGCTGGGTTCGCTCGTACCTAAAAGAATATCCAAAATGCAATTCATGAGGTCTTACAAGGATGTGTCTACAGAACAAAAATGAAGCAACCGATCACGTGGATGATATCTAAACTTGATACAAAAAACTGGCAGAGAAGATCAGAGGGGTAGAAGAAGATGCATCTGAAAGAGTACCAAAAACGTAGTAACCGCCACGGAAGCATCCTGCTGCATGAGGTGTAGTAAGGCTCCGCCATCAGCAAATCAATCTGACACAACAGATCCCAGACCATTTTAACTAAACATATACTTTTGTAAAGTACACAAACGTTACAATTTGGCCGATTCGCAGTCAGTAACAGGACTGACAAATTTGTGAAGTTACAAAATAAGATGAGGATTCATTCTGCCAGCAATAATTTCCAATCAGAGACTTCTAAGAGTATACCTTGCGGACCCCTAAAACTTCTAATGATAAGGGTGTTGCTATCTTGTTCATGACTTTGATGTTAGCCACGTTCTGTCCCAAGGTCCTACTGATGTCATCCACATATTCTTGACCAACAGCACTCCCAGGAAACATAGCAACCACTTGGACATTTGCACGAACAGAGGCCGCCATCATGGTCACGAGCAAACTATCGTCAACGACTACACACAATGAGGTCTTTAGACATCGGAGCTGCAACAAACACCAAACACCAGGCATTAACGTTGGACTACATGCGTTGAATATGCCTGTGTTAACTGATCAAAAGCAGATAAATTACATCTAACCAATGACGTCATTTAGCAATTGATTGACATATTTTTGAGCACCATGTATTATTGTTCTGAACTCTAGGCAGTTTTCAAGATGATGAAAGAAGACAGAAAAAATCTTACAGCAATTTCGACAGCTGATTTCACAGATCTTCGCCACGGCTCATGTCCGAGAATTCCAATTCTATCAGGTGACATAGACGCTTCAAATAACACTGGGCAGTCAACGTTATCTTTAGGGACTACATCCTTGTGCATATAGCTCCCTACAGGGTCCGTCACATTGTAACTAACACTAACAGCATCATGGCTGGCTGTAACCACAACTTCGTTCCCTGAGTACAACATCAAGCCCTTCCCTGGAAGGATCCACACCATCTGCTTCCAGTGCTCACACCATTCTGATATGCCCATACAAGCAACAAGTTCAAGAAAAGTTAGAAAAAGTAAGCAGAGCAATGAAGCAATTAAAGACAGGCCCTACATATTAATTAATTAATTGAAGGCTATTCTGAGGGCCTCAATTAGGGTGCTTCAAGCATACAATTTATAATAATACGCTTCCATATTGCTGTCTACCTGTTTGAGGAATAGTTTCAGCTTTCACATTTGCTGATGGATTTTTTATCCAATTGGGCGCTGTTGAATAAAATATCTCACCCTCAATGTCAAGCTGAAGTACCCACCTGCAAGACTTCCAAACTATTCAAATGCAATACATAGAAGTGACACGAACGAGTTTTGAGAACTACAAAACACACAGAAACAATAATCACAAGTGGGCATCAAATGCTTTCACAGGACTTTACCAAGATACAAGTGCGTGTGCCCTCCCAGAATTTGTGATGAGAACACTATGTTGACGTTGCCCAGACTCATCAGGAGCTTTGGAAAGCTCAAACGTGAAAACTTCAAATGGTTCTGAAAGCTGCCAAATTTAGACACACAATAAGGTCTCTCCTCAAGTTAGGATTACATAACTAAGGGACACCTAGTTCAAGTCGAAAACACAAAGAAACCAAAACATAATATATCGACAATCATCATTCATTCCAACCAAGGCACTACACGACCAACTAAAATCAGGTAACTAGGCTAGAGGCAAAGCTAGGGAGTGTACTCTCATGAAACTTGTACACTCTTCCGTGAGCAACAGCGCGAGAAGCAATTCTGTAATAAACTAGTCACGAGGATTTAGCAAACCTGCTTGCTGTAACTTCAGAACAATAAAGACGAAGTTCCTACATTAATACCAATCTAAGACACTAAATAAGGAATTCGGTCTACCAGCTGCATTTCGCTCGCTAAGGGATCCACATGCATGGCAGCAGCTCTACCCCGAAACTGGTTATAATCACGTGAAGCCAAAACCACGCCATCAACCAATTGAGACTCCACTCCTGGTAAGTCATGGCACTTCCACAAATGCTCACACTCCACAAGCTGCAACACAGAGAGCCACTAAATGTCTCAGTAGGTAAATATCTATGCTGTTTTTAGGATAACGACAATATCCCAACTAAGACGGAAAACTTTTCAAGATTTGTAAATGGACCTGTGCGTAGACGGTAGCTGTATGGGGCACACAGCGGGCATTTTTCGTGAGCAGATTTTGATGAGCATGACGCAGGGAGGGTATCAAACCCTCACCGAGAAGCTCTGAATCGAGAATTTCACTGATCTGCCATTCAGATACCATTCATTCAGATTAGTACTTATTTTTAATCTACTCTTACTAGCAGCATCTACAAGAATGCTGCATAACAGCTCGCTCAAATCATGTAGCTTCCACTAACCAGCAGACTCCTGGCTCTGCAACAAGAAAATAGACATCAAACACAATTCAGGCAACTCATGAAAGACCCTTCTCAAGTTCAATAACTAACCAGAACGTCTGCACGACAATGCATGTCAATGCCCACTTCCATTTCATCAGACCGTTTATGAATCAGACGCACACCTGCTCCGACTTTGTTAGCTCGCAAAACCTTTCGGGCAAGCTTGAACATGGGCAGGAAGGACTCACAGGCTGTGATTGATCCCATTTCTTCACTGATTCTGCCTTCTTCACACATGGAACGCCATGCCATCATAGAAAGAAGTCCTGTCCCCGCCCTTCCACAATTGACGTATGTACAAAGAATTAGTCAAGGTGAAAAGAAACAGGATAATTGGCACTACAGCGAAGTTCCTTGGCATTGAGAAGCCAGGAGCGCATCAAAATACAAGAATACCTTCAATCTCATTCTTTGCACGACAAGTTTGGAGTGGTTTGAAAGTAATGCATACCCAATGTCGAGAACGTGATGGGCGCCTTTCACAGCCTTCTGAATTGCCAAACGATATGCACGGTTACGCGGGGCGTCATTTAGCATGTCCAGAAAGGTAGTCATGGTGAGTGCCTCTGAAACCTCCTCAGCTGAACTTCCAAATAAGTGGTTCTGTCCTTCGCCATCTGCATAAAACCATACAACCGAGTGTGAGCATTTACTCCAAAAATGCACACGAGGACAACAATGAATACGTAATCCAAGAAAAACTGAAATTCGAGTCCTCGCATAACCCATATGGGCAAAGAAGGTATCGGAAGCGTGGGGAGTTTAGGGTTTTGATTAACATGTCAAAGCCCAAAAACTAAGTTCCCGGCAAGGATTCACTTCCCAATTATTAGTTACGGTCTAGGTCTTGTGCAAAGCTGTCGCTGAAAAACTATCAGCCAAAGAAAAAAGGAACATCTCGCACCCACAAGAATATTTCTCAAACGCAAGCTTCTGGCCAAGTTGGATTAATAAGACTGTAGACACATTCTAAACCCCCGAAATGCAAAATGAAATCCGAATGTAACCCCGGCATGAGCAAAATAAAAAGATAAAAGAAAACAGATAATAGAAATATAAATATAATACTACATGAAGACGAGTTAAGAGAATCCGCGGTACCCTCAGGATCGTCCTGACGCACAACAATCCATTCCACCTGGCCAGTGAGCTTGTTGAGCGATTGCTGCATCAAGACTGCAGACGATGGAGCCTGACTCTGAGACGTCCCCACATTCTTGAGCTGCTCCATTGCAATTACAATATTCCACAACTCTTCACTCAGATATCCGCTCCATTCCAATACATTACTGTGCAAAGCCGAAACAGTATGTAGTGTGACCATAACCCCCCCGCCCCTCCTTCGACACAGAGCCTCTGCAGGCACAGGTATGAAAGCTCGTGGATGAATAAGAGATGGTCTATATTTATGTCATTCCAACGAGGGAATCCTAGACCAAGAGAACCGTAAATTGATTTCAGTGCACGGTACCAGGTGGCTTTCTGGTTGTTCATCTGTATGGGATGCTGAGTGTATTGTGCAGGCCTACTGTGGACTTGTCTCTGTAGTGTTTTGCTCCTGTATACGGCAATTTCGTCTCTCTTACACATCTGAGACCGCCGGAGCTTTAGCTGAAGGCGTGCGCTGGTGGAGATTGTCGGGCTTTGTTAGGTAAGTGGGTTTATTCTTACCGTGATTGAGATTGTTGCGGGGGGGGGGGGGGGGGGGGGGGGGGGATAGTCAGATTTGGTTGCAGGGTGCTGGCAGGCGTATTTGTGCTTGTGAAGGTTCGGCATAGGTTGTGAGAAAGGAAACGGTTGTGGTTTTTAGTATTTCACGCCACTTGAGGAGTTCAACGATTGGGCGACGTTCAATTCTTCATTTCTTGCGGGTTTGCGCTCTTTGAACAGACGAATATTTTGTCGAGATGGAAAAGATTGTGTTGGACGGTACAGCTATCTCTTTGATTTCTCTGTTGGGCTGGCTTGATCGGAGAACTCAATTTCCTATCAAGCCCCGTTGGATGCGTTGCAATATGAAGTGTCCATTATGCCAGCACATTTGTACATTACTCTGCTGGGATTCTCTCTAACACAGAGTGGTGACCTAGAGAGAATATTGTTTAGGAGGAGCTTGGTGCTGATTTTGAAGGAGTTCATTGACCTAACTTGAAGTAGCTATTCCAGTGTACAAAGCATTTTGGGATGTATGTCTGAGCGAAGGTCCAACTTAATATCAACAATCTTCTAGAGCGAAATTAGGAACTATCTTCTAAAAACTCAACGATAAATAGAGGAGATGATGTACATGCGCACAGTTGTGCAGTTGGACCGCTAACAAGTGTTACCTTGTTGTATTTATTAGGTGTCAAGGTTTGGCGATTATTCGAGAACAGGTTAAACATGGGACTCATTCAAAGTCAAGAACGGAGGGGACAGTTAACCAAGATTGAGAGGAGGATGGTCCAGGCCATGGCAGAGCGGGCACAGAAGGTCAATGTGACTCTTAAAACTTTTAACACTTTCATCCTCAAATTTCCGAAGATTGACGCCTCATTTGAAGCCGTCAGAGAAGTTTTCAATAAAGCAGGTTTGGAAACTGCCACATTACAAACACATCTTTTCAAATTTACTGCAATTGCGGTGATCATTCACTGTCTACGAGATTTACACTTGATTAGCACGTCCTCATTCAAGCCAAGTGAATACCCTCACAGCCCTTTGACCAGAAAAATGCACCTGAATGTAATAGCATCATAATCCAGACTATAACATCCAAAGGGATGCATATGCATTTCGAGACTGACCCATTAGGTTACATGAGCTGTGACAGAATCTCATTCTAGCTACGCTTGATACTCTTCTTAGACTATATTTCCCTCTGAAAAGACATTGGTCGTTCAAAGCTGGCTTTTATGCAACTCTGCAATTTCATGAGCCAGCATGCTCTAAGTAGTTTCGTGCTGGGTGTCAGCCCGGTATGGGTACCGATTTGAACGTGAAGGAGAATAGTTTAATTCATGTGCATGTTTTATGGCCTTGTCCCCAGATAAGAATGGGGATGGTTCCTTGGACATGGAGGAGTTGAAGCAGTGTCTACAGGAGTTGCAAGTGGAGTATTCAGATCAAGAAATTGAGGAATTTCATCACGAGAGTGACATGGATGCTAGTCACGGAATCCAGTTCAAGGAGTTTATTGTTGTACTAGCGCTTATCTACCTTCTAGGCAGACCTACTCACACAGGAGTTGTATCCTTTTTAGTCATAATTCTTCTATTTTATTTACGCTTGTTTTCTTTTCTTTTTTTTCTTAATACAGCCGAAATTTACATGTTCACGTCCTAGTTGAAATTTGTCGACGTTGCCAGTTTGTCTCGTGTGGATCTGGTGTAGTGATACGATTTAAGGAGTTGGACTTGACCGTATATAATCCCGATGAAGGAATCAGCGATTGGACTTCCAGACCTCGAAGCCACCTTCGATGAAATTGCTGAAGCTTTTGTGTTTTTCGACCGCAATAAAGACGGCTATGTCAGCAAGAAGGAAATGATCTGGGCTATTAACGAAGCATCGCCATCTGGTCGGCACGGACACAGAATTGGTGTTCAAAGATTTGGTCCGTTTCTCGTACTTTCATCATCCATTGAATTGCGTACACCACTCTATTCAAACTCGTGTGTTCTCTTGCAAGTGTGATACTGACGAAATGTACGTGAGTCGCAATCTGTTCAGAGGAAATGGACTGGGACAAAGACGGTATGATCACATTCAAGGAGTTTTTGTTCGCTTTCACCGACTGGGTAGGACTTGAGAACGACGAAGAAGAAACAGGGCACAACAACGTGTCTTTGCCGTTTTGACAACATTATCTCAGAGATTCTGCAGTCAGCATTTACAGCTTATTGATGTCAAACTACGGTTAATGAGTCCATCAGCGATGTAACCAACTTCGCTGGAGTATCACAGTCTCTGTGCAGTCTATACTGTATCTATATTCCATATCCGGTATATAAGAAGTTCAGAATTCAGAATCTTGAATCTAGGCTCTAGTTTTTTTATTGGTTGTCTTTGAGTAAATCAGTTTTTCAGAGCTTTTGTAGCCGAGCATGATCTATTCTCTTGAGCTGATCAAGCCAGAGTTGTAGCTGGTGTGCATCAATTCTAGGACATGTATTCTATGGGATACAGATTTCAGTGCCTGGCATTTGTGCAGGTTGGAGTCTTTAGTGTCCTTTCTGATAGCCAGGTTAGGTTATATGCTTTTTTGCTTTATGCCCAAAGCTACTGCTTGTCTTAATAATCGGCTTGAATCGTTGAACAAAGGTTTGAAGGTTTCAGTTATTTACACTTTTATTTTCTGGGTAGCGGGTCCAGTATTCACCTTGAGTGATGAGCCGTGAAAACCCAAGTTATCAGTCAAAATACTGTGCACTTGACTTACCAAGAGTGGATTGATTACAAACATTCTGCCATAGATATATTTTCTAGGAGCAGGCAAATTGTGTGTGTGAGTGAGTGTGAGTGAGAGAATGAATGAATGAGGGAGTGAGGGAGTGACACTGCGAAGTAATAGTCCTCACTTCACCTCCATGCGAGCAAACCATTGTCATGTTGCAGCCTCAGTCTCACCAAGTTACCACTACTCAAAAAGTATCAAAAATCTGGGACGGGTACTTTTCGAAGCAGCAAACGTTAACATGTTAACATTTCAGGCAAAGACTGGGCTTCTATGAGGCAACATCTAACTTTTGAAAATGCATGTTCCATTTAATAAATGAGCCTCGTTCTGCAAGCCTGATTCTTCTTTAAAAAAATGTTCCTATTCTCCTCATCTAGTTGAGAGCCATTTCTTTCTCTCTGCATGCCTGCCTGGTATCGATTTAGAGATACTGACCGACCAGCTGCCTCAGTTCTCCGCTGAAGAGGGGTGAGTGCAGTAACTAGCATCTTCGCATTGGGCCGTTCATGCGGTTCAAACTGCAAACACCGTGATGCCAGACAAACGACCTCTAAACCATCGTCGTTGGAGTACTCTCCTTCTAAGTAGGAGTCCATCAGCATGAGCCTGTGTTATTGTGCAAATTATATCCAACGCCTGCAATCCATTATTGAAGAGTCAGCATCGTTCAGCTAGAGTCTTAATTCGATAGGATCCCTCAGTTTTCGAAATCACCGGCTAGGTTGAGCCTTTGGATTAAAGGTTTGTATGAGTTGATTAGTTTCATTTCTGGATTCGAAGACGATACACAAAGGGATTTGTAGTAGTATCAAAGTAAAGATCAACCATTGTAAAAGAACCATACCAGTGCTGGATCCACGCTTTTGTGTATGTTTGAATAATATGAGTTTTTGCACGGTATGTAGCTGGGTATGTTCTAGGATCAAAACTCCCATCACACCTCTTTCTGCAGCTTTTGGAGTGAGTAATTCTTGCAGACCAGGTCAAACTTACTCGTGTCCTCAAGTTTGAAGTTACTTTGGAGGGTGACTTCTTTCACTTGTCATTCTTCCTCCTCTCGATCATGTCTCTTCTCTACGTTCGTTCTGGTGATTATTTCCAGTGGAAGCCTAGTACCTGTGCACGTTTAAATGCTCAAAGTCGATAGAATCTGGCGGGTTGTTTGATTGTCTTGAGAGAGACTCCTTGGTACTGCTGCACTCGTCCATGCTGTGCAAACGGGAGTTATTGGAACTTTTGTGAACTATTCAGAGTTCCGACATGGTGAGGTCTTCTGTGCCTTGGACATCGCGACGATGCACATCGTTCAGAGACTTAATTAACTCTAGCCTTTTTAGACCAGCTTGTATGAATGCATAATAGAACAAGAACTGAGCCAACTACTTATCTAGTAGCTACAAAATCAGTCAGATTATGTTAGAAACATATCTCTGGAAATACTCGGTTGGGTTTTTCTAGTTCGAAATCAGAAGTGGCAATGAAAGTGAAAACCGGTAGTTATGGCCAAGTGGTGTCCTCACTGCTATTCAGCAGAGGGAGCTGCCAATTAATATTAACGAGACAATGTCTACAAAATATATCAACATTTCATTAAAAAAATATATTTTTGCACATTTTTAGTGCAAAAAATATAGAAGAACTTCAGGACGTTTTTAGTTTTCTTTTTCAAAAATATTTTAATTTAATTTTCTTTTATTCCTTTTTTCAAATTGAATACTTAAAACATGATATATTCTATAAAACATTAAACATTAATTTTTTTCAAAAAACACTTAGTGAATTAATGGCTTTCTTACAAAACATGTAGCAAGATTTTATGCCTCAAATGTTATGCTTACAAATTTATACTACGAGGAAAAAAAAAAAAAAAAAAAAAAAAACATTCAATTGCATTTATCTGAAGGATATATTAACTAATGATATTAATCATAAAGCATAAATATAACCTGCATAGGTGTATATTGCAATTGGTTATTTTAAAGACGTTAATTTTTTTGGTAAATTTGTAAATCTGGTAATTGGGTACATAGTACTATAATTTTATAAACGTCAACCGTCAGTTTCATTACAATCAGATTAATATTTAAGTTTTTATAAATTAGACTTATAAAATATTATGACTATATCAATTTTTCTCAGAAACATATTTCACGTCAATTTTTGAACAAATAACCTCTGTTAATACTTTTAAAATGCTCTTTTGTTCAGTCGCAAAAAAGATTTGGATGTACTTGTTTTTAAGAAAGATGCTAAATTTGAAGGAAACTTTTTCTTTAAATGTAATGATAATATTTTACGAAATCAATTATAGTTTTAATTATCATTGGGTTTTTTTAAAAAAGAGAAAAAATATAACATGTGATCTGATGCAATGTTATTACAAGGGTGGATACTTTGTTTTTCTAACTTGTAAATTCTATTAAAAAATATTACAGAATTATTGCAAATTACCTTTTTCTTAAATTGGTTCAACTAGTTATCTTTTTAATGCTATTTATTATTTTTTCTGTTAAAAAATACAATATGTGTGTGTGTGTATATATATATATATATATATATATGTTTGTATGTAAACAAATTTTTATATTGATATGTTTAGAATTAGCCCCAATAAAATTTAAAAATACAACATTAAGTTCAGTAATTATTTCTTTGCCAACTATTATACTTAAAAAATATCTTAAATCTCTTACAAAGTTAGTTTATACTTGCTGGTTTTTCAATATTACCAAAAAATAGATAATTGAATTTTTTTAACAATTTGGAAGTGCAATCCTATAGTGCATTTTTTTTTTTTTTTTTTTTTTTTTTTTTCCCTCTTATATTCTCTTTTTTTCATGTGAAAGTATAAATTACTAATCCACTTATGTAAAAAATGAGAACACAAGAACTTGCTTTATTTTTTAAAAAACCAATGTATGCTATTGTTAATCTTTATTATTTTAGCTACTAAAATTATTAACTTTTCGATTTTTAAAAAAAATATACAATCCTCTTATTGAAAGGTCGTTATTTCTTTTTCTTTTTTTTTTTTTTTTTTAAATCTAAAAACATCTCTTAATAGTTTGATTTTTCTTAATAGTTTGTATTTTAATTTATGATATCAATTTTTTAAATGGATTGTTAAAATCCTTCAAAATTCTCTTATTGGATTCTTAAAAAAACTTAAATATTTAATTTCTAATAATCACATGAATTTTAAGCTAAAATTTATAAAAATAAATAAGTAATAGACTTTAATTAGTAATATAAATAATACATTTTTATATAGGATCTTAAAGTATTTCTAAATAGGTAAGCTCAAATATTTTTTTATATCCAATTAAATCATGTATATTTTTGAACTTTTTTAAAAAAATTTCTCATGTATTATTAAATCAAACAATGTTTTATTTTTAGATCGTTTATATACATTTTCTAATCTACTATTTTCAGTTTTTTTCTTCTTTTTTTTTTTTTTTTTTTTTTTTTTTTTGTCTCCCTCTTAAAACATCAATTCTAATAGTTTACTTATACCCAATGCTTGATTTTTTTTTATAGCAAATTCAATGCACTTAGAACAAGATAGATTTGTACTTGAAAGTGCTGGCATATTGTGTCTTCTTCAAACCTTTATATTCAGTTTTACTTAAGACTCAAAGTACCTTAAAGTAATACTTTTTATACATAAATATAGTTTTTTTTATATGTGTAGATAATTCTTCTACATTTGTAAGTGATACACCACATCAAATTATGTTTTGGTATATATATAACTTCTCAATTTCATAATTTTTTTAATTTTAATTTTAATTTTATTATTATCACCATAATTATATCAATAAGATAAATTCCTTGCATCTTCATGCACTATGCATTTTTTATATACTTAAATAATATTTTGTTGACAATTAACTAATCAATTCTTTTGATATTTTTAATGAATAGATCAATTTGAACCTATCTAATATCTTCCTAAATTAAAAAAATAGAAAAGAAATGATCTATAATAATAATGATAATAATAAACTCTTGTTCTAATCATCTATGTTTCTTTTTCTTATTATCACCCTATTGAAAAATAAACACATAGATTATTAGATTGGATTCATTTTAAGACTTGGTTACTTCCACATTCTTAGGTTGCTTGCATCCTCATTGCATCTAATTACATGCTATCACTGGCTATCACATGACTAAAATTATTTTTCAAAAGTTTTCTCAATGAGTTTCTTATCTTGAACATGTTAAGTTAAATGATTTAGTTGTCCCTAAATTTTGCCAAAGCTATCATCGTTTACATGTGTTTGGATATATATATATATATATATACAAGAATGTTAAATAGACACGCTTTTACTAAATAGACCCATCTTTGATGAAGAATATGGTAATCATGATGAATATGGTTGGTTTTTAATGATTGCAATCTAATAATGGAGAAATGAATCCAAAAATCATTATTTTTTTTCATGATGGTAATGATGGATGGATCAATTTCATAAAAACTTGGGGCTACTTAACATTCCCCTCTCTCTCTCTCTCTCTCTCTATATATATATATATATATATATTGACAATCACAAAATTCAAGATATTCACAACATGACAAGTATTTACACTTGGTACAACAGGAAATATTCCAAACATCCACTTCTACAGTATTGATTTGAGTGAATGCAACTAAAATGTTTGGTACTTATTAGACTATCGGACTATCAGCTTAGTATTAAAAGACATGCAACCGTTCATTTCTCCTGGTTTAATGCTTGATAATCTTAACACATTTTAGGACTCTCCTTGTGCATTACAACCACAGCGACCGCCTTTGTGCGGCGCTACCTGCTTCTAATCTGAAGAGGTTGCAATTGCCGCGGGGTGCCGCAGAGTGACGCGGTGTACCGCTATCGAGTGAACTAACTTGGATCAGTGCGATTATCTCACAGCTCTTCGAGACTCTTGTAGAGGGTTCCTCTAGCTTTGCTTACTGATCGGCAACTTGTGCGACCCATAAAACTGATATTGATTGTGACAGAATGTCGCTTCAACACTCTCAGATGCAAATACTGAAAGAAAACACTCTCACGGCACTGCAGCTGCAGTAGGAGCTTGAGAAGCTGTGACGTTATACGAGAAGTCTTTGCGAGGTTGGGAGACATGAAATGGCTCATGACAAGGGAATGGAAGTGGTAATGGAGGTGAAATTAGAATTTTAAAACAATTTTTAGGAGGAACAAAGGGAAAAAAAAAAGAAAAAAATTGATAGCTCATGTTCAGACCGGGGAGCTGGTCCCTCACAGCCTGCTGCTACTTCTAAGCCTTGAGAGCTGCAAGCTCGGCCTTGAGCCTGGAGTCGCCATACAGCATCTCCTCGAAGCGGATGATTTCGTCGCGGGATCCGTATGCGACCTGGGTCCTGTCGTCGGTGTTCACCACCTGCTTGTCGAGCACGGATTGCTTGCCGTCGCTGGAGTATCCTCCGGCATTCTCAATCAGCAATCCCAATGGCGCGACCTCGAACAGAAGCCTCAGCTTCGCCTTGGTGGATGGCGAGGTCACGTTTGTGAAGATGCCTCTCTCCTTCACGATGAGCTGGTTCACGTCCGGGACCATGCCTCCAGTGTACCGGAGAGTGTACTTCTCGCTCACGTAGTAGTTGATCAGCTTCTCGTAGTCGGCGTTGTCGAATGTAGCCCTCAAGTTTCCGGGGGAGAAGAGCTTGCCTTCCTTGATCTCAGTGGTCTCCTTCACGTGCTGCCACTTCCCGTCGTCCATGAGGAGAAACTCGTGAGTGCCGGGGAAGCCGTTGATTGCAATGACGTAGGTGGTGCGTGGTCCGTAAATACCCATGGCGGATGCAGCTTGGTCGCGGCCCGTGATTCCAGTGAGCTTGTCCCCAGGCCAGACGCCGAAGATGGTGCCCACGGTGAAGTTGGTGTCGACAATGCTGGAGCCGTCCAAGGGGTCGAACGCAACGCTGAAGCCCTCTCCTTCCATATCCTGGAGGACGGGCTCCTCCTCCGAGCATGCGTACTTGCAGACGTGGGAGTAGCGGAGCGCCTCAAAGAGAAGCTTGTCAGCGAGCATGTCGACAGCAAGCTGCTCATCTCCGAAGGTGTTAACGCAGGCGGTAGCGCCGCAGGATGCCGTGCGTACCTTGAAGGCGATGGTGCGGAGGGCCTCCCCCATGCACACCAACAACCTAGCCAGCTTCTTGTCAGGAGTTGCCTTAGCAAGAAATTCCTCTAAGCTATCGCCGAGCTCGGCGCGGATCAGAGCCTCCCTATTGGTGGATGAGGCCTTCTGGGCCACTGCATTGCGTGCGTTGATTACTTGCGCGCCATACAGAGAGCTGGATTTGCCTCCCTAATCAAGAAAGAAACATCGTCCTGTATCAGCCTCCAAACAACGATAAGGGTAACGAAATGCCACACAAAACAGGACTTGAACTCAAGCACCTCTACAGAGAACCTCCTCTCTCCAAAGTATTTAATTGGTGGTTCCACGTCAATGACATAATCATATCGCAAGAGTGTGCAATTGCTTTCATGCATGACCATCGATTGTTACAGGGATCACGGCGTTCAAACTTCAGGAAACAGCCGATTTACATGAAAGGCTCAAAAAAATTCTTCATTGCACAAATGATTGGTCCAGCCTCGGATGCTAAAAAGACCATGCAAATTACACTGATGGATCGGATGAATTGGGATCACAACAACATCTCTGTATTTAGTGATGAAACAATCGCTCCTTCTCAACAAGTCGTGAACCATGCGTCTCGGGGGCAATACAAATTCAATCTCAAGTTCCAGGAAGCGAGGAGCAATTATCATTAGAAATAAGACCAGCGCAATGTAAGAAAAAAATTGTAGTATAATAACACAGTCGAGCGAGGGACCCACGCAATTCGTGGGCTATGGCGATTGCCCAATCCAGACTACGACTTCTGTCCAAGAACCAATGCTAATGCAAACAAGTTTGTCACACATCCGAGGAAGACAATTACGCGCGGCAATCCACCCACTCACTCCCCAGCTTAGACATTCACAAACTCCTAAGCGGGCATTACTACAAGATCGACTCACAGCAGCAACACTACCATGCAATTAGAATCACGTAAACGAGTCAGCATCACCGAGGAATTGGCGACTTACGAGAGATGCACAGGCAACGGAGCGAAGGGGAGCGGCAGCCTGGGCGCCACGTCCAAGCACGGAGCTGGAGGACGACGCCTTCGCGAAGGTGGAGACGGTGCTCCCTGCAGCAACAGCGGCAGCCATGATCGTCGCCATTGTTCAAGCTTTCTCCACACTCAACGCCGCGGTCTCAAATCTCGATTACAACTTCCGCGAGGTGGGCTGCAACAGTTGTGACAATTGAGTTTGATGCAGAGCTCAATTGGGGCTGAATGCGAAGGCGATGATGGCATGAGGAGCCACAATCTGAGCCCACCAGAGCCACACAAATCGAGGATATTTGACTGCAATTCATGGCTTCAACAAAACGAAGGCGCAGAAACGACGGATAAGACGCAAGGATGGATGGGATCACCGGCTCCAGCACGTTTGGGGACCGGACGATCCGGTGACTCATGAGGATCAGAGGTTGCGTTTGTGGTGAGGGCGTGTGGAGGCAGGATAAGAATGTGAATGTGGGTGGCTTGATGATTTATCATGTCTATTTTGATAATTTCTCTAGTAAGACCTACTAATGAAATTTCGAGGACACAAAAAAAAAAATAAGAATAATAATAATAATAATAATAATCATATCATGTAAGTTGATATGCTATTAGAATATAAGAGTTTATAAAATAGCTTTTATTGTTTACATGGCTATTTTATTAAGTGAAGTTTATTGGCTTTTGAGGTCTATCTTGGGCTTATGTTGTTCATAATGGTTTTTATTTTTTATTTTTTATAGTAAAATTAATAGGTGATGATGATGATAATGATAATCTTTTCTTATAACCATTTTTTCTTTTTTCTTTTTGGTTCAAGTTGAGGAAGTGAAAATTCTCAACTTGACTTTTCAAAAAGTAGTAATCAAAATGAAGAGTGATAAGGAACATTTTATTAGAGCTATGAGCATCATGAAAACAAAATTTTGTTAAACATGATTCTGAAATACTGCATACATTCTTGTTATTTTATTGTGTAAAATATTTGAAAAGGAGTTTTTTTTACCTTCAATTGAAAGAAAAATAAAATAAAAAATCATTTAACTAATTATGATGAAGTGTATATATATATATATATATATATATATCAAACATATTACATTGCTTAGAGCCTCATAGAAAAATTATGAAAATGATTCCTAAATTTGAGTTGAGCAAGGTTGATACTTTGAATTTGTTTCTTGGTTCCTTCAATTTATGGTTTTTTTTTTTTATATTCTTTTGAAAATTCGTATTACTTTCTCCCCTCTATTCATATATACATGTGTATATAATTATTTACTTTTAAATTAAGTATTTTAATTTAGAATCTTTGGAAAACCAACCAATAATTTAGATTAAGTTTAAGTTGTTAAACAAGATTAATATTTTTGTTTTAATCCTTGTCAGCAGATACATATGCTTGGGGTAATGATTAAAATAATAAAATAAAACTTCTAATGTTTTATTTTTAGATAAATATGTAATTTAAAAAATAATATATATATATATATATATATACATCTGATTTTTTTTAAAAAATAAAACATAAAAAATAAACATTCTAATGTCTAATTAACATATTAAGAAATTATTAAATAAAATAAAAATCATCCTAAACTTAAATATTATTTTAAAACTTTTACTGATAATAATATATTTTTACATGTAATTTCAAACAATTAATAAAAATGAGTATATAAATAATGCTAAAAAACATACTAAATGAATTTTAAAAAGTTATGCTTCATACCACTTTAAGACTAGAATAAAATTTAGGCATAAGAACAAAGAAGAAAGAACATAAAAACTACCAATTTAAAGTTTTGTCCAACTTTAAATGCAAGGATATAGTGGAAATTATTAATTATTTTAATGAATTTAGTTATAAATAAATAAATCAAAATATTTTTTTAACACATTATAACTTTTATTTTTGAATAAAATTTTATATCAAAGATTATAAACTCTTCAACAAATTAAAGGCATAAAATCCATCTACTTTGCAAGTAAGAAACAAAAATTCAACCATCAACAACAATAATTTAAATTTGGCCTATTCTAAAATTCTAATAGCAATACATAGATAAAAGAGTGAATAGGCAATAAATTCTTAAATCATTCAATACATTAATGTAAAAGGCTTTATATCTATCTATTACCATTAAAAAAGAAAAAAAATATGCATATAATATAGAAAATACTAGAATTATTTATATATATAAAAAAAGTGCATATAATAAGAAATATATATGATACACTTTAAAAAAATTAGATAATAAACCTCAACAAATTAAAATTTCAGATTTTACAAAAAAATTCTTAAATAGAAAGCTTTAATAAAAATACAAAATTGGCATAATGAAACAACTTATTTAGGAAGAACATGATAACAAAATATATAATAAGATCAAAATTCATAAAATAAAGAAATGTTAATAGAAAAAAATATTTTCTCAAATAAACATACAATACAAATCTACACTTTAAATTAGTTATGACATATAATGATTTTTTTATAAGATATTATAAATAATATCTATACATAGAAAATAATACTATTTTTTTGGCTAATATGAAGTTAGATAATAAAAAAAGTAATATTGACAATATAACTTTAAACTTGTTGTGAGTCATTAAATCTTCTAGCTTTAGAATTTTAAATGCACTTATAATGCCAAAAAACACAAGTATTAAGTAAAATTAGTATAGAAAATTTTAGATTAAAAAATATTAGTATTAATAGTAATAAAATAATTTCGTGTAGAAATTTTTGTGTATGATTTCAACTTCAAAGGACATCTTTTTGGCATCCATATGAAAGAAGAGAATTTAAGAGACTAATTTAGATTTTTAAGATGGATTGATAGTAAAAAAAAATCTTATTGGATAATAACGTTGTTCTTTTTCAGTAATCTTATGAAGTTGAATCTTTAAGTAAAGTAACATTGAATTAAAGAATTGCGATTAAAAATGTAAGAACCTCAATTTTTGAAGAGCTCCAAGTTTTTGAAGGAGCCTAACTTAGGAAGAAGAGTTATTAAAAAGAATATGGATTTGGACTTTATTTTACTTTCTTATTTTGTTTTTATTTTTGTGACTAGAAAAAATGAGTTTCAATTTTTTCTTGTTTTGATACTATTACAATGTATTTTTGGTCTTCTTCTTCTTTGCCAATTTATATAATATGATAGTATTATACTTATGTTACCTGTTGTGGTTTTATATTATTTATTTATTTATTTATTTATATTTGGAACAAAAATTTACTAAAATCATTACAATCTTTGTTAGGCAATGAAAAAACTTCCTTGTTGCTATTGGCATTTGTTCTGATTGATTAGCAAGTACTATCTTTGAGTTACTAATCTCTACTAAGTCAAATTTTCTTACCCCACTATTAGCATCATGAAGCATTTGGAGTTGCTTCAAATAAAAGAGCAATTTACTTTGTTTTTTTGGCCCTCGATTTTTATTGTGCTATATTATCAACTGTAATGTGAGATTGGTGTAGTTTACATTGGTGGTGCCATGTCACAGATATACATACTTACTCACATATTTACATATATGATTAAGTAGAAGTAGATAAAAATATATTTATTTCATGATATTTTTTAATAAAGCTTTCTAGAAGCTTCATAGATGTTGCTTTGACTTTATATGTATTTATAATTGATTGATAGATTAGAAACTTTTTTAAAAACTTAACGATATGTTGACAACTTATGAAACTAGCTAATTATATAGCACACATATAGAAAACTTGCCTTACAAGTTAAGATATGTGTCTTGCAAAGTCAACATGTTTTGGAGGTCCTTTAGGATATTGCTACGTAGTTTGTAGTTAAGAGTATATATAGAGATAAGAAAGAAAAATTCTTCACTCTTGTCAACACCTTTCTAGTACTTAATCTTATTTTAAGTCTTTTTAGTCTTCTTATCGTTGGCAATAGCCACTTGAATTTAATATTATATGATCTTTAAGTGATTTTTTAGTCTTTTTAAGTGATAAAAGAGTGTATTAAGGTTTTCTTTTTTTGAGATTTATGTTATTGATAATTTGATAAGAGTGTTAATTTATTATTATCATTATTTTTTAAAATAAGTAGATCATCTCATTTCTATTATTATATTATAAAATTTACAAACTACCTATCTTTAAACAAATAATCTTATTTTCTAACACTAATTTTTTCCTCAAAAAAAGTGGATTATTCTTCTTCATAGAATTTTTTATTTAATATTAATGGTTGGAGATTATCCTCCTCTAATTTAATTTTTTAAATTTATTTGAATTCTCTATGGAAGAAAAGATTATGGATGCTACTCTCATTAGAAGTGAGGATAGATTTGCAACTATTGTAGATCTTTACAAGCTTATCAATACTTTAAGAATCAAAATTTTATACATTTTTAATATGAATCATAGAGATACTATTTCTACGCCTATTGAAGTAGTTCAAAGTCTATGTCAAGAAGTTGTGCAATTGAAGAAAGCAAGAAGATCAATCTTACAACCAAATCTAGGAAGTTTTGCTTCTACAAGTATGATAAGAACAAGGATTAATATGATTAAAATGCCTAAGAAGTTTGATGGAATAAGATCGAAATTTTAAAGATTTTTGCAACAAGTCAAGTTCTATTTAAGATTCCATCCCTTCCAATACTGTGATGGATTTATTCAAGTTGGATTTATAGGCGCTCTTCTATCTAGAAGTATTCTTTCTTAATTTATACCTTTGATGGAAAATGATTCATATCTCTTATATGATTTGAATTCATTTCTAGAAGTGTTTGCAGTTATATTTGGAAAAAGTGATTGAGAATGAGTAGTAGAGACCAAACTCTTATCTTTACAATAAGATTCATGGTTAGCCACCATATATGTTACTAAATTCCAAAATCTTGCTCGCAACATGGACTAGAATGACAAAGTCCATATCAATCAATTTTAATATGGATTGAAAGGTAATGTCAAAGATTTATTATTAATAATGAAAAAAATTAAATCTTTAAAATAATTTATTACTCAAATCATTGCATGCACCTATCAGTTATTTGAAAGGCATTAAGAACAAAGACTTGATTAAAAAAGAACAAGTAATAATGGTAGCTTTTAAGTTTTTCAAAACTTATTCATCAAGGTCAAAACCAATGCAAATTGATATAGTGCATTTAAAATCTCTCATAGAGTAAGAAAAGACTCGACATTGACAAGAGAGTTTGTATTCTTATATTATAGAGAAGCTAAGCACACTGTTCAATACTATTCAAAGAAACAATGTAATTATAAAATGATAAGCATGATTTCTAAAGAAAATAATA